TAGGTCTTTATCACATTGATGGCAGTTTTTATTTTATTTTAGGTCCATATACCAGTCCACACTTCATATCCACTTTTTAAAATCCCCTGCTACCTTGAAGATCACCTCCTCAATGAAGTGAACTTCAGTCATCAGCTGCGTAGGACAGTGTTTCCTTCTCCTGTACTGACACTCTGTTAGTGCCACTTAGCTTAAGCTAGTTATATAAGGACCTGTACATTCCACAGAAGCAAGAACTGCTGCAAGCAGCCTTTGTCTTCCATCAGGAAAAACAGACAGTTGCTCTACATAGCCCTTTGGGTCAGCAGACAGCAGGTAGGTAGGGCTAGGAAGGTAGCCAGACATTTTGCCTTCTCATTGGGTAATCAGAGCTGTTAAGAATCTCCAGGTAGGACCTGCTACATAATTTGGCAGGCCCAGGGAAAAATGAAAGTGCAGAACTTCTTGTTCATAAATTATTCAGAATTTCAAGAATTAAATAGAACATTAAACCAAGTACAAGACTCTTTTATGTGTGAGCCCCTAAGTGACTGCACAGATTGCCTGTCCATGAAACTGGCCCTGTCTCTAGGAGCAAAGATACTGGCACCAAAATGTCCCTTAGAAAACCAAAAAAAAATTGTGATTTTACCTTATTAAGTGAGTTCCTTTTCATCAGTTCAGGATGCCTGGCTGGCTAAAACTAGTGATGAGGGAAGAAAGGGGAGAGATGTAGTACTTCCTGCAAGTCTTATATCATTTGTTTAGGCTAAGCTGTGCTCTATGACAACTTTATAGTATCAAATACCTTGGATAATTAAGGTCTTTTGCTTGAGGGGTTCAGTGGAGTTCAAGTATCCCAGACTTTCCCAACATCCTTGATACCAGACATTCATTTCATTGGGAATCCATAGGCAAACCTGGATCACCACTGTGAAGCAAGTGCTGGTCTTCAGATCTCACTTCTACTCTCCCCATATTCCCCCTGCAAAGCTGTCATGTGGGATCAACTCAGAAAGAGCAATGAGGCAAAAATCTTGAATCATACTCCTGGAGAGTCAGAAAGTTAACTGTCAGGTAAGGTGAGATATTATACCTATGCCCTTCTGATGATTAATCTGGATTGTCAACTTTAGTGGGTTTAGAGATGCCTAGGAAACACCTAAGATTAAGAGACTTCCACCTGTATCTGTGAGGGTGTTTCCAAAGATGACTGACATGAGGAACAGCAAATTGAAAGGGCAGACCCACCTTGAATGTAGGAAGCATTGTCAAATAGGCTGGGTACCCGGATGGAACAACAACAACAACAAAACTAGAAAGAAGAATCTGCAGCAGATGCAAGCTTAATTCTTCTTGAGAAGCCCAGTTGTTCTTGGGTGGGTGTCTATTGCTGCTACCATCACCTGTAGACATCAGACTATATCTCCTTCAGTCTTCCAACATAGATTCTCACCAGCAACTCTCCAGGGAACTTCCAGGTCTTCATCCTCAAAATAGGGCTCCATTGTTGGTCCCTTTTGCTCTGAGGCTTCTAGCTTCTTGGGCCGAACAGCTACTGGTTTCTCTGGCTCTCCAGCCTGCAGATGGGCCACTGTGGGACTGTCCAGCTTCTGAATGTGTAAGTCAAGCTAATAAATACCATATTATAACTATATATATATATATATATATATATATATATATATACACACACACACACACACACACACACACACACACATCTTGTTGGTTCTGTCCCTCTAGTGAATCCTAACTAATATATCTGGACAGAGATGGAGGTGCCATTGTACTCCAAAGTAGGCTGTCTTGGGCTCTGAGCTCCCAGTCCAAGAATTTCTCAGACTCCTGACATATTTTCAATAGATTTGGAGCTTCCTTAGTAAGGAGTGATCAGAAGAACTATCTTCCCACTTCCCATTCCCATCCTCTCTCTGGATCAGGCTCTTTGTGCTGGCATTGAACACAACAATTTATTTTATTAATGTATACATGAGGGGAAGGCATATAATTTCTGCAAGTCAGTGGAAGAAACATCTACGGGCACTTTCACCTCACCTCTGTCTTTGCCAGCAAGATTGAACTGGGTTGGAATGGGAAGTAGCAAGATGATGTCTGGGCACTGAGGTGGTGGGGATTTGGGCTGGCTGGAGTGAGAGGAGGTCTGATCTTTCACTGGTAGCAGCTGCTCCAGTTCTGCCACATGTTCAGTCCTATTCCTGATTTTTATCTTTAGAGATGAAGACCAACTGGCACAGGCCTGTTGGAGGACTGAGGGCTTTGGACTCCTGGAAATCATGAGCCCTCTAAAACACTCCTCCCCCAAGTTGCTCTGCTTGGGGGAAGTGTTCTGGATGAGAATGCAGAGGAGTGCCACTGCTGAGGCAATTGGGATGTGAACTGGGGCAGCACCAATGACATCTAGAAGTCATGGTCCTGTATTTTGGGAGGACACAAAATACAAGGCTATTGGCCTTGGTGGTGCTAATGGGAGGTATTTATCAGACCAGGATTTCTATATGAGGAAATGAAACTTTGGGTTAGTTTTGTGACATTATATACATTGTGGGAAGGACAAATAATTTCCTGGTAGTAAGAGGTGGGAAAGGAAAAAAATGGTAGAGAGATCCAATCTGATTCTGGAAGGAAAAAAAGAAGATGTCTCTTAGATTTTCTTTTATAATGGCCTCCATAATGTTAAAATTAATTAACTCATCATCACCATTCCTACCTAGTGGGTCAGGAGGTGCTTAGATGATTCACATCCACAATCACCAGACATTCCTTTTACCTGTATAACATTCGTCTTCCTTCAGCCTTATCAACCCATATATTTGATATGGATCATTTAAGAGCAGCCAAGATGGCTGGCTGGAGACAGTATGGGATAGTGGTTAAAAAGCTGTGTGCAGTAGGGCACAGGAGTGTAGGCCTGGAATCCCAGCAGCTTGGGAGGCTGAGGTGGGAGGGTTGCAAGTTCAAAGCCAGCCTCAGCAACTGAGCGAAGACCCTAAATAACTTAGCAAGACCCTGTCTCAAAATAAAATAAAAAATAAAAATAAAAAGGGCTGGGGATGTGGCTCCGTGGTTAAGCACCCCTGGGTTCAATTAAAAAAAAAAGAAAAAAGAAAAAGAAGCTATGTGTGTGCCCTTGGCTAAATTACTTAACCTCTCTAAGTTTTGCTTTCCCTTATTTGAAAAAAAGGGAATAAAAATGCCTTGAGGACTGAAATAATTGTGCAAAGCTTTTAGGACACCAAAAGTAAGTGTGTCTTGGTTCAATCCATGCAAGGCTCAGCAGCAGCAGCAACACAATATCATCATCATCATCATTGTCACCACTACCATCATTAAAGCTACCCTCTCTACCAAGACTTAGTTATCCTCAAAATCTTACAAAATTGGTTATTTAAGCCCTAGAGTTCAACTCTTGTACAGATCTGCATCCTGAGCTCAGTGACCAACCCATTGTAAAAGTGCATCCAAAGGAAGGATAATGAGATTATAGTGACTTCAGCAGAACAATGGAAGAATTTTTCAGGACTCTATTCCTTACATGAGTCAGGACAGACTTTAAGTTTGTGGCAGGGTGATAAAGAGGAGGAAACACTGGGCGATTTGTTCAGAGTCTGTCACACACATGAGGTTGGGCAAATCATGTAATATTCTCAAACTTGAATTTCTTTTTTTTTAATCTTTATTTATTTTTATGTGATGCTGAGGATCAAACCCAGTATCTCTCACTTGCGAGGCAAGTGCTCTGCCACTGAGCCACAACCCCAGCCCAACCTTGATTTTCTTCATCTGCAAATTGGGGATCAGGTAACAACTTCTGCTTTGTCAACCTCATATCACTGAACAGAGGATTCCTGAGCTGTGGTATGTAAACTTGTTACGTGGAAGGCGTTTTTACTACACTCAAGAAAACCCCTAATCCACCACATGGACTCTCTACCGCCCTTTCCTTCTTTCATTCAACCATCATTTATTATGCAATAGCCCCTTTCTCAAGCTTCATCCTGATCCATTTATAAATCAATGCAAACCCAAGATACCTGTTCAAAGGACAAATTCCTAAGGTCATGTTCCAGACCTCTGGTCAGAATTTTCAGGGGTCTGGCTTGGAAACTCTAGGTATAACAAAGTTCCCCACATGATTCTGGTCCTGTGGGATGTTTGGAAAAGAACAGACCCAGTTCTTTTGGCATGGTAAAAGGATTATCAGAGGAGCTTCATTCAAATACAGATTCCTGGGCCTGTTACTTAGGACCTACATATTCAGAATTTCGAGGTAGGCCCAGTGTTATGCAATTTTACAAATACTGAAGGTGATGCCTGTGGGCTACTATTTACTCACAGGCTCCCCCTGCAGTGTGAGCTACTGGTCACCAGGGGGCCAAGTCGGTGTTTGGTGACATGGTGCTTTAGGCTACAGAGGGAGGTGACTCAAATGCATGGCCTTCTTCCATAGACAGCCAAAAGCAGCGCATCCCTCTTCTCCAGGCAACACTATTTAATAGAGTTCTCCTGTGTATGTAGGACCTGCCTTCAGAATCCCTAAAGTTCTGACAAGGAGCCTCTTACTACCTCCTCAGTCTTTTTACACAATGGTATCAAGCCGGTTCCATGGGCCTGTTTTTCTGTCTCCTGCCATTACAAGGTTAGCTTTTCGAGCAAGTGATTTAGGCTGGAGCCAGACTGGCACAGTCTCAAAGGATGTGAAAATCAAGTCCTCAAAGTCAGTCTGATTCTTTCTCTTTCTGGGACCTGAGTTTATGACTTTCTCAATGTTAGCCATAAGTGAAAGGCAAAACAAAGTGCACTTTGTAGTGAGGACAGTTCAGTCTTAACAGAAATACATGACACAAGGGGCTCACATTTTGATAGAGGCAAGTCTTGATGGTTTATTTGCCTGTATGTCTGTATCAATCCATCTACCCTCCTATATACTCAACATTTCAGAAAGAGTGAGAATATACCTGCTAAGATACCAACATATTCTGGGAATATGAATAGCCTACCTAGTTCCTTTCACATCCTTTTTGGCCAGAGATCAGGCAGTGGCTGTATGCTTCTTGCTCCTGTATATGGGGGTTCCTCATAGCACCTGTATGGCTCCTGCAAGGCCTTGGATCCAGTCGGGCTGGAGTGGCAACCACCAGAAGGTCCTTCAGAGAATAGTCAGAGCTGTGAGGGTTCTGCAAGAGGAGGAGGGAGGGCACATCCATCTGCGTCTTCTCACCAGGGCTGTGGCTAAAGGAGAAGCCCTTCCTTGGCAGGAAGGATTTTTCTGGAAAGGCAAAGTCATTGGCATCATCAGTCTGTGCTGCTGGATTTGGCACTAATTCCTGGCAAAATGCACCTCCAACTAGGGTCTTGTGGCCCCAAACTGACTGAACCAGAATCACTTGTTGCTCCTCTCCTCCAAATTGTTCCTCTTCCCTATAATTGGTACAAACTCATCTGAACAAGAATCAGGAAGTGTCAGAGAGGGTCCTCAGATTCAACATTCTATTCGATCCTTTGTCTTCTTAAGCGAGAGATTCCCTAAGAGTACCAACGGATGGATTTCCCTGAGGGCAGAGTCTAAGAACCCTTCTCATGGCTGGGGATCCCCAAAAGTTAGACTTGGTTTCGTTTGTTTCTCTCTCCCCTGAGGCTACAGTTTGGATATTGAGCGTCCCCCAAAGGCCCATGTGTTAAAGGCTTGGTCCCCAGGGTGCTGCTATTGGGAGGTGGTAGAGTCTTTAGGAAGTAGGGCCTAGTGGAAGAGCCTTAGGTCACTGAGAGTATGCCCTTGAAGGGAACTGTACAACTTTAGCCCCTTCTTCTTCCTCTTTTTGCATTCTAGCCACAAGGTGGCCAGTTTTGCTCCACCATATGCCCCCCACCATTGTCATCCAATGCCCATACCCAGAGGTCTAAAAGCAATGTGTCCCCCGATCATGGACTGGAACCTTTAAAAATAAAACTTTTCTCTTTATAAGTCAGTGATTTCAGGTATTTTGTTATAGTAAAGGAAAGCTGATTAACACGCCTAAGCTCCTGACACACCCCTGCATACATTGGCACTCACGTGACATGTCACTCAGCACCTGCTTCGGGCTGCAGTAAGCTGGGAACAAGGAGAGCCTCCCTCTTAACCGAAGCTTTGCCAATAGCTCTGACACCAGATGCTTCTCCTTCGTGTCATTCTTTAGCAAAGCCCAGCTTGGGTTCAAATTGTGCGAGAAGCTCCAGGATTTTGTAGGCACAGAAGGTTTTGATATGTTCTCCTGGATGAGCTTCTGGGGAATCTGCTGCTGCTTATATTTAAAGGATACTATCCTGACAATTTCTGGGCTGCTGCATTCAGAGCTGGTGGTCAGTGTCAGGCTTGGTAGCAACTCTGGAGAGGTTGAGTCCCAGGTGGTAGATTCAGGGGTAGTTTCTACTGAGGTTAAGGGCTGAAAGAGAAAACAGTCTAAATTGAAATTGTAGAAAGCAAAGGCCTCCTTCTTCTGCTATTCTTGAATGAAACAAACAGTAATGATTAAAATAGTAAATTAAGAGTGGGATTCAGCCTCAACAAGAAAGATTTAGGTTAGAAGAGTTTCCTAGCCACAATTGGTTAAACACTAGGGCAAAAGATAAGACGATGGGGAAAATATACAGCTTCCTGTAGAGGTCTTTAAACATGAGAAATTGTAAATACTAGAGATTGCAGATCAGAAAAAATAGGTGTTGTTTTACAGCTATCGGACTTGCAAAAATTAGAAAGCCAAATAATACCACTATTGGTGGGTATGGTGAATGCACAGGAACCCTCTGCTGCTAAGAATATAGACTGATAAGGTCATTTCATACCATTTAGAAATAATTGACATAGTGAGATACAAATATCCTGTTACCTAGCAATTTTGCTGCTAGGCTTATACACTAAATAAGTTATTAGATAACTCTTTAAAAATTATGTACACAATGGGGCTGAGGCTATAGCTCAGTGGTAAAGTGTTCGCCTTGTATGTGTGAGGCACTGGATTCAATCCTCAGCACCACATAAAAATAAATAAAGATATTGTATATTCATCTACAACTAAATAAACATTTTTAAAAATATGTGCACCAATATTCCCAACAGCATTTTCCACCAAAAGGTGGAAACAGTTCAAATGTCTACCAACAAGTGAGCGCGTAAATAAAACATATACATAGAATAAAATCTTATTCAGTCTTAAAGAGAATTCTGATGTATGCCACAATCTCAATGAACCTTGAAAAGATCATGGAAAGTGAAATAATTTAGACATAAAAGTACAGATATCATATGATTCCACTTATGTAAGGTAGCTAGAGTAGTCATATTCATGGAGACAGAAAATAAAGTAGAGGTTATCAGGAGCTGGGGGGAAGGAAAGAATGGAGAGTTATATTTACTGGGGACAGAATTTCTGTTTAGGGTGATGAAAAAGTTCTAGAAATGGACAGTAGTGACCGTTGCACAAATTAATGACTAACCTTAATGTCATGGAACTATACATTTATAGTGCTTAAAATGGTAATTTTGTTTTGTTTTGTTTAGGGGATGCTAGGGATTGAACCCAGGGGAACTTTATCACTGAGGTATAACACCAGCTCTTATTATGTTTTATTTTAAGACAGGGTCTCACTAAGTTGCTAAGACTGGCCTCAAACTTTTGATCCTCCTGCTTCTGTCTCCCAAGGAGCTGAATTATAAGCATACACCACTGTACCTGGCTTAAAGTAGTAAATTTTATGTTATATATATTTTATCAGAATTTTAAAAACAGAAGGATATTCACTTCAGTATTATTTGTAGTGGGACAGAACTGAAGGCAACCTCCATGTCCTTACTTTGGAAAATTGATATGATGAAATGGATGGTTGGAAATTATTCTTGGGGGGAACAAAGGAACTGCACTTATTTGCAGCTTTGCAGCCTTTTATCCAGGGACACCCTTAATCCACATGGCTTGGGCAACAGAAAGCCACAGCCTTACAATATAGAGAAGCTAGAGAAATGGGGTAAATTGTGAAAAGGGGAAATCTTTCATGTGCAACATGACTGTCTAATAAACTACACATACCGAAAGCAGGGGGGCGGGTGATGAAGAGGAAAGGCCTCCAGGGGACTCAACAAATAAGCAGCACCGGAGACTGAACTAATTAAAGAGATTTCAGTTGCTGCTGATCACAGTAGATTCAGAATTGGGATTAATGTACTATCCAAATAAAAATCACTCTTTAGAGGAACAAATAGAATCCAGAGACTCTACAATGAGTCACAGCATCACATATAATTTATAATGTCCAGCATCCAAATGAAACTGCCAGAAGTGCAGAGAAACAGAAAAATATAATCCACACTCAAGAGAAAAAGTAGTTAATAGAAATTGACTCTGAAATGACCTAAATTCGGTGGTTCATCAATATATAAAGACTTGAAAGGAGGCATTATAAATATTGTCAAGGAGTTAAAGGAACATATGCATGAGAATTTTTTTTAAAAAATTGTGAATCTAAGCATAGAAACCAAAACTATAAAAATTATTTGCATTATATATAATTATAATGTACCAATTAAAAAAATAATTTAGAGTGGTGGTGGACATCTGTAATCTCAGTTACTTGGGAGACTGGGGCAGGAGAATCACAAGTTCAAGACCAGCTTGGACAATTTAGGGAGACCCTATCTAAAATTAAAAAGGACTGGGTGGGGCTGGGGATGTGGCTCAAGCGGTAGCGCGCTCGTCTGGCATGCGTGCGGCCCGGGTTCGATCCTCAGCACCACATACAAACAAAGATGTTGTGCCCACCGAAAAATAAATAAATAAATATAAAAAAAAAAAAGGACTGGGTGTATAGCTCTATGTATCCCTGGGTTTAAATCCTCAGTACTGAGGGGGATATATATATATATCCAATCTGAAGAAATAAATAGAAGCAAGACTGAAGAAAAAATAAATAGAACCTAAGAAGTCTATGAGAGAATATTATATGATTTAATATACATGTTCTTTTTTAAAATATACATGTTCTTTTTTAAAATATACATGTTCCTAAAGGAGAAGAGAAACAAAATAAGGTAGAAAAACTGTTTGAATATTAAACATAAACTTTTCAAATTTGGTAAAATACCTGAACTTACAAAACCAACAAGCTCAAGAATCCCAAATAGAATAGCTACAAATAAAAAACATGCCTAGACACATCAAAGACAAATTGTTAAAATTCACAGATAATGACATATTATATACAAGGCATTGCTATGAATACAGTTGATTTCTCATTTCATTTTGTTTATTTTAATGTTTTTGCTACTGAGGACTGAACCCAGGTATATTTTACCACTGAGCTACATCCCCACCCCACTTTTTAAAAAATATATATTTTATTAGTTGTTGTTGGACCTTTATTTATTTTTATGTGGTGCTGAGAATCAAACCCAGTGCCTCACACATGCTAGGCAAGCACTCTACCACTGAGCCACAACCCCAGGCTCATCCCCAACCCTTTTCATTTTTAATTTTGAGACGGGGGTCTTGCCCAGGCTGATCTTGAACTTGCCACCAGGTCCAGCTGAGTTCTCATGTTTAAATAAACCAGAAGATAATGAAACAACATCTTTCAAGTGCTGAAAGGAAAAAAAAAATGAACCTAGAATTCAATTCTAGGTCCCCCCACCCCACAAATCCTTCAAAATGAAGTCCAAATAAAGACATTTTCAGATAAACAGAAATAGAAAACTTTACCAGCAGGTAAATGTGCACCATAATAAATAATAAAGAGAGATTTTGGGGCTGGGGATGTGGCTCAAGCGGTAGCGTGCTTGCCTGGCATGCGTGCGGCCCGGGTTCGATCCTCAGCACCACATACAAACAAAGATGTTGTGTCTGCCGAAAACTAAAAAATAAACATTAAAAAATTCTCTCTCTCTCCCCCTCCCTCTCCTCTCTCTCTCTCCCCCTCCCTCTCCTCTCTCTCTTTAAAAAAAAAAAAGAGAGATTTTGCAGGCTAAAAAATAACTTTAAAATATACATCCTTTTTAATATTACAACCTTTTAAAGCAAGAATTTTAACACTGTATTGTGTGATTTATAATGTATGATAACAAAATATAGTTTTCTATATTTAAAATTAAGTACAACATTAGATACACATTTTTTTATAATTTCTTTTAAAGAGAGAGAGAATTTTAATATTTATTTTTTACTTTTCGGCCGACACAACATCTTTGTTTGTATGTGGTGCTGAGGATCCAACCCGGGCCGCACGCATGCCAGGCGAGTGTGCTACCACTTGAGCCACATCCCTAGCCCCATTAGATACACATTTTGATAAGCCAAAGATGCTTATTGAAATCCCTAGAACAACCACTGAAAAAAGGCAAAAAGTTATAGCTAAAACGGCAATCTAGAGTTGAGATTTATAAATATCTAATTTCAATTTAACCCAAAAGAAGACATGAAAGAAAGGATGCAGGGGAAAAACAACAACAAAAAAAATTAATAAAAAAAACCAATAACAAAATTTCAGCCCTAACCATAATCATATTAATGATATTAAATGAAAATGGAATTAAAATTCTAATTAAAAGGCAGAGCATGGGACTGGAGTTGTGGCTCAGCGGTAGAGCATTCACCCAGCATGAGCAAAGCCCTGGGTTTGATCCCCAGCACCACATAAGAAAAATAAATAAATAAAATAAAGGTATAAGAATAAAAGACAGAGCTTGTTACACAGAAAGCAAGACTTACTTATACCTGTCTAAAGAGAGAGCCTTTAAATACTCAGTAACTGCAGAATACACTTTTTTTTTTTTTTTTAGTGCACATAAAACATTCACTAAAACAAATTGGTGGACCATAAATCAAGGCTTTTGTGTGTGTGTGTGTGTGTGTTTATGAAATGCTAGGGATAAAACTCAGGCCTCACATATGCTAAGCGAGTGCTCTACTACTGAGCTACACTCTTAGCCCTATATTTTTCTTTCCAAAATCTGGGCTTGGGATGTAGTTCAGTGGTACTGTGCTTGCCTACCATGTCTGAGGCCCTGGGTTCAATCCCAGCACCACATTAAAAACAAAAAACAAAACAAAAACACCACCAGAGGGGTTCCAAGATGGCCGGCAAGAGGGAGGCTGCATTCTGTGTCACTCTGTGACCTGGGATTCGAGTACTGGGAATATTGTTTCTCTGTGAGTTATTAGAGAAATCCCAACAGCTGCTCCCACGCAGGAATCACGGCTGCCATGCCTGCACAGGAACTCCGGCCACTGCTCTCATGTGGACTCCCATCTACCAAAGTGGAGCTTCCCTCAGTTGCCTCCATCTTGGGACACTACAACCACCACCATAGTCCTCTACACACTGTAGCCTGCACCTGGGGACAACACACAGGGTCTGGAGACAACCACCAGCCACAACATTGCATGCCACAGAGCTA